TATATATATATATATATATATATATATATATATATATATATATATATATATATGCATATAAAAAGTGAAAAAAGTTAAGATAGCTTTGTGTACACGTTTTAGCGCGTGTTAAAAAAATAAACGATAATATTCTATGTATTATATAAGATATTTAAATACAGTTACAACAATCGTCAGCGAAAATGCAAATGAGGGTGGGAATGGCTTCTCTGCGCACTTCTGCTATTTTATTGTAGTGGAAGTTTGATAGAAATCCGCGTTCCTTGAATTGAAATATTTTCACACCAAAGCATTAATCCGCACATAATTTTACTTTATAATCGAAAGCAACGATCGTATCGTATGCTTCTTCCATGTTTGACTTATCACTGATTTGTAGATGAACGGGATGTGCGTATTGCCGATGACTGGAAGAAGTACAGTGGGTGTTGGTGGTGAGAGAAGTGACAATCGTGATAATAGTGATGGTTGTAGCACCGGTGGCGGTGGCGGTAACGGCGGCGGCGGCAGCAACGGCGCTTACAACAGTGACGGTGTTGGAGGATGTAGTGCTGGTGTTAGCATAACTCGCTCGAGTATTCGTAGTGCCGGTAGTATGATCAGCGCTACGGATGAAGAAATTAACACGGTGTCTCGCAAGGGTGTTGCGTTAGATCCACGTCACCCACGCACACAGGGCATAAGGAAACTGCAGAAGTGTCTGAGTACTGCTACCAGCCATTTCGAAGTGGAGTCCGTCTCGGGCGCCGCCGCCGTCGTCTCTCAAGCATCTTTAAACTACCAGAATATCCTCACCAACACCAGACAGTATAGCAGCTTCGGTAGTATTATCGATAGCCAACTGTAACTTTAATTATTTATGCTGTATGGACTACGTAGACCACCGACTATCTCTGTAACACCGAATGAGAAAGCTCTACTCTTCTCTGACTGCTTAATTTTTAGTTTGACTTTATTATGGATAGAATGATTCTCCTCGGAAAAGCTTTTCAAACTGAGAGAGTGCTGGATCTCTCGCGCATCGTTGCTGTGTAATACTTGCGATTTATATCTTGTCTTCTTCAGTTCTTCTTTGTTTTAATAGCTTCTAATTATATATATATATATATATATATATATATATATATATATATAT